CCCTAGGAGAACCCGCCGCAGGAGAGCCAAAAGTGGGGAAACGTTTCAGGTTCCCCAATGGCCACTTGGGGAACCACTTGGGGCCACTTGAGGCCAGAAACTCACAGGCTCCCCTTGGGGAGCTTGACATGAGGCACATGCACATGATGACCACTACCTGCTCGCCTTGGAGGGTTCTGAAGGCCGCAGGCGGACCACATTGTGACTTTCGGGGCCCTGGGCACTTTGCCTTTGTGGGTGCCTCCCACCATAACACTTTCAATATTGCACATTATTTTTGATATAACTTTAAATACTTCAGCTTTTTTTGTCTGTTTTAGGCTCTAAACATTTCATATTTTTTGTGATGTGAGAAAAAATTTAAATATTTCTCATGATTCCAAACTTAAATTTTTTCCTTCTGATTTTAAGAACAATTAGAACATTTTTGTGGACTCCTAAAAGTACTGTGGGCTCTAGGCACTGAGCCTGCTGTGCCTGTGGGACACATTCTTCCCTGGCTGGAGGGACCCAGGACAATGGGGGCGGCGGGGGGAGCTACATTCACACTAACACTGTCCCCTTTGGCGAGCCTGTGTGAATTTCCCATGGGCCAAAGTAGGTGGATTAGTGGGAATTTCCTGTCCTAATGGGAACTGGCCCAAGAGGACTTGATGTTGGGTCAAGGTGACACAGTAAGAGGCTGTGTTTCAAGACAAAGGTGGAAGAAAATAATGCCATTCCCAGTTTTTACCCCATGGAGTTCGACTCATTCAGTCAACCAGATACAAAGTGCATCATTGGCAAAAGTGTAAATGAGTGGTCAGTTAGAGCTTTCTACTTCTTATCTGGAACATTTAAACATTTTCAAAATTCTAAATTCTGACTCTAGATTTATGTTACTAAATTGGGGCTTCTTTTCATGAACTGTGAATAACTTATCAAATGAATAAATTAGGACTGAAGTTTATTTTGCATTAGTTAGTCAGAAAGGTTACTACTATAAACTAGATTTATTTAAAAAAATAACTTTTAAAATATTTTAGAAGTATTCTTTTACATAGAAGTAATCTTATCTATTCCTCTATTTATTTAGTAAAACTTCCCACTTAGCAATGAATTTGGCTACTTTGGGTTACTTTTGAACTTGAAAACAAAAAAGCTAATTTTTTTCCTCTGAGTGATCATTCTCACTTATTACAACTGGAAATTCTGTCTAAGCTATTGATATTTTATTATAGTGTATATTTTTAAAAATATAGGATCAATCTCATTCAGAGGTTGCTAACTGTTAGCCCATGGGCTAAATGCAACCTGCAAACTGTGCTTTGTTAGGCAGTGTTTAGGGGGCATTTATTTGTTTGGTCTTGCATTTGCTTGTTGTGATGAGCCTGCCTTCCCTCTTGTTAAACATCAGCTGGCTCTTCCACAGGACACACACTCAAGTTCCCCACAGCCCTCCCCACTCCCTATTGTTTTATACCCAGCCCACCATACCCATCGAGTTTACCTGCCTGGCTCCTGTAGATATTTGAGTTTACTTATGTCTGCTATCATAGGTCATTGATGTATCCCCTAGACCAGCACTGGACATACAGTTGGTACTCAACACATGCTGTTGACTTTACTGACTGAAGACATTTAGAGAGTGCCCTAAAACTTCTTTCACAGGCCTGGCTGCCACTGGGGAATTACCCTCCCTTAATTATTTCCCTTTCAGGGTATACATTTAGCTCATTGTCTCCTCTCCCCAACTCCTCTCCCCAACTTTACCAGCACTAGACATTCTTAAAATGGAAATCTAATGTTTTAGCAATCTTAGATAAGGCGGAAACAACTTTCCAAACATACCACCCTAAGCCTTTCCAATATGGAAATTCTGTAGCTAACAACCTTCAGAGAATCCACCAATCTAGACCTCTTTCTCCCATGCATTCATATAGGCTATGCAATGGCCCAACCCAGACTACACAAGAAGCACAAAATTTAAGATTTTAAAAGTGAAAGAAGCTATTGAGGTCATATCCCATTCTTGATTTCATAAGTGGGAATACTGTAGCTCAGCAAGATTAGAGAGTCATTACATAAAGTCATATATTTAGCAACAGAACAGGACTAGAATCTAGGCCTCCTGACCACAAGCACTGGGTGCATTCTAAGTCTACATCACAAGTTTGCCCTGTCAAGCTCCCCTCACCTGACGTCAGGGCCCTACAGAAGTCCGCCCTTCCCACCTCCTCCTCTTCCTGGGGCTCCTGTAAAAAAGGATCAAAAAGAGCTCTCATATTCTTTCTTGAAACTGTATCAGTAGCCAGCCCATATCCTGTGAGGTCTCCAAGGCAGCATGTATATACTCTGGGGGGGGGGGGGGGGATGTAAGATGATCCATCAGAATGCGGGTAGAAAATTCTAGAAATTCTCTTTCTTTTAAATTTTTATCTCATTTTTATTGTTTGCTTTATAATACACATACTATATTAATTGAGTAATATATGTAAATAATTTATAAAATGTTATAGGACTGTACATGAGAATAAATTGGGAGAAAAATTTAATATACATTTCTGAGCCCCATCCTTGGAGATTCTGATCTATTAAGCTAGGGAGGGATGAGGACCAGGAACTTATTTTTTAACAACCAAAGTGATTCTGATGCCACAATCAGGTTTAGGAACCGCTGCTCTAAGGCCTTGAGAATTTCTGACCTAAGTAAAGAGGTCCATGAAGTTAACCTCCAAGGTAAGAGGTTGATGAAGTTGGATGTAGGGGTCTAAGGAATACTATTTACCTTAGACTTAAGAAAGAATAAAGTAACTTAATTGGAAGAGCTACATATGGTCCGTGGTTTCTAGTAAAAGACTCTTATACAAATGCCTGAATTTAGTCGAGAAAATTTTTTCTTCACAATTTTTCTGACATTAAACAAAGAATATGCTTAAGCCAAATCATAAATGTGCATCCTTCCAAAGACTGCAGTCCAGACTTCATTTCCACGCTCTCTCGTTGGTTTTGTGACTGTGCTCTGACGACTCTACAGCTTGTGTTTAATTCACATCCATTGCTTTTATACCCCAAATCCAGCAGTTAGGCAGTTGTCATGAAAATCCATTCTTGCTCGAAGACCAGGATGATAATTGCAATGCAAGATGCTTCTGGGTATTGCCCTTAGGTTCAATAGCTCAGAGATAACCCCAAAAATAAGCTACATAAAAGTCAGCCTTTATGAGGGCCAGTTTTTTAAAGAGCTGCATTTAAAGAAGTGTAGTCCAGTGGGCAAAAAGAATTAGAAAGGAGCTGCAATATCTTTCGAAATTACAAATATACATCCCCTTTGACTTGTAATGACATTTCTAGGAACTTGTCTTACGGAAATACATACGTACGAACTGGCGCTTTCACAAGAAAGACCGTTCATTGCAGTGCTATTTGTAATCACAAGAGATTTGAGACAAGCTTGTATCCCTCAGAAATTACATAAATGATAGTTTAATCACATAAAGGAGTACTCTGTGGCAATAAAAAAAGGAATAAGAAAGTTTCTTATGTCCTGATTTGGAAAGATCTTCAGACATATTATTAAGTGAAAAAACAGGGAACAGAATAGTATATGCTAATATGTATTCAGGAAAAAAAAGAAAAGAAAAAGGAAAGTGTACATTTAAGACAAAGGTCCAGTGCTTTCTACATCCCCCCACCCCCGTCTTCAGTGCCTGCTGACCTCCTGCCTAGGGCGCCTTCCGGGCGGCCCCTCTTCACAATAACCCTGTTTCCTCCTGTTGTCCCATCTGGTCAGAGGCGGTAACAGCTTTCAACTATTGCTAGTCTCTGTTATTATCACTATTATTATCACTATGGTCACTATTATTATCATCCCATCTAATCAATAAGGAAACTGAGGCACAGCGATGAAGCCAGGATTTGAGCTCATGCATTCTCACTTAAGCTCAGCACAAAACTACTCAGAGACATTAAATGACACCCAAAAGATAAATACTAAAATTATGTGATAGATGCTATATGCCTTAAGGGAAAATAACATGGTACCAGGAGAGAATAACACAAAAGTCATTATTTAGTTGGTGGGGGCAGAAGGGTGGAGTCCAGGAAAGGCCTTTCTGAGAAAGTAAGTTTTAAGCGGACACCTACAGAAGGGGGGTTGTTAGTGTGGCTAGGATATGGGGAAGAATATCTTCAGCCTGTGCAGAAGCCCTTGAGGATGGCAAGAGCTCAGTGTGCCCAGAAAGGAGGCTCATGAGAGCAGCGTGGCTGGATCATAGTGCATGAGGAAGAGGAGGGCATGGGGTGAGCCTGGAAAGGTGACAGGGACCACCCAGGGCTGGGTGAAAGAACGTGGCTCCTCTTAGAGCACTGGCGAGCCACTGGAGAGAAGCGATGTGAGCTAGTTCATGTTTTACAAAGATCGCTCTGGCTGCAACATGACAACAGGATTTGGGGTGGGGCTGGGGAAAGAGGAATGGGCCATAGCAGACGCTGGGAAATTTGCAGTTTATTGCAGGAGTTCTGGTGAGAGGGGATGGGGAGTGAGCCGAGATGTTGCAGTGGGAATGGGAAGAAGTGGTCAGATTCCAGGTATACTTCAGAGGTAAAAATCAACGGGACTCGACGGCAGGTTGATGTGGGTGGTGAGACACGAGGAAGTGTCCAAATGCGTTCCTGGCATTATGTGCTACCAAATGGACTCAGTCAGCTGCTGATTATCCTTTCTGGATTAAGACCTGCCATATCTCTGCCCATCCTTACCACCAGCACAGCCACAACCCCAGGGTGGAAGACTGGATTTCTTCTTAAACAGAAATAATAGGAAGTGCTGGGCTAATATCACCACATTAAGGAGCAAGTAGATTCTATGGGTCAGTAAAAATTACTTTTAATATTTTCTGTGGGTAAATGGATTTACCACCAACTTAGAAACGAGCCTATTGAGTATAATCTATTTATAAGTTGGAATTAGCTTTATAAAGAAAAATACACAAGGTTGACATCTAATTTGTGTTTCCCAGGCCTGTCAGAGAGTTTTCCATGCCAAGAGGAGCAAACACCTTTTGTTACTGTATAAAAGCAAATGTGATTGTCACTGGAGGTAAGAGGACAGTTTGTGTTGCACAGAGATTTTCTACTTTGCAAACAGTGCTCTCCTTAATTAACACGGTTATTGCATTTTCCTAGAGTTATAGAATTTTCCTGCTGGAAAAACCTTTTAGAGAATTTAAAAAGTTGCGTAAAGTCAAATCTCAGTCTCTTTCTTTGTGGCTTTGGATTTGATGGCACCTAGTCTGAAAATATGTGAGAATTCTCCTGTATTTTATATAATATTTTCTCATTGTTTTGTTTTATATTTTAATTTTAGATCTCTAACCTATCTAGAACTTATTTCAGTGTGCGACAACATGAGTTCCTAGCCGGGGGCCCAGGTGTAGGCCTTAAGGAGCCCCGGAGGCCCCTGAAGCTGAATGACATGTGTGTCTATGTGCATTTTTCTGGAAAGAAAGTCCAAAATTTTATCAAATACTCAAAGGGGTCCGTGACCAAAAGGATCAAGAGCCAATGGTTTAGAGTTGACAGAGAAGAGGGCCAAGGGTAGAACCTTGAAACATGCCAACATTTAAGAGCTAAGCAGGGTCGAAGATAACAAGGCCATCTGCCTAGAGTGAGGGGAAAGACGACCATCTCAGAAGCTTGCAGGGAAGGTGGAAGACGGGAATAATCTCTGAGCCTCAGACTCCTCGTCTACAACACTGGCCTTCTTATCTGGTGTGATGGCTTTGAGCCCAGGCTCTGGAGTCAGACCATCTGGATGCAAATCCTGGCTCTCTTACTAGTGGGCTTTGTGGACTTGGGTCAAGGTGACACAGTAAGAGGCTGTGTTTCAAGACAAAGGTGGAAGAAAATAATGCCATTCCCAGTTTTTACCCCATGGAGTTCGACTCACTCCAAGCTTCAATCTCCTCTGTAAAGTGGAGCTCATAATAGTACCTACTCAGGTTGTTATAAAAATTAAACAGATTCAAAAAAAGTGCTGATCACAGTGTCTTGCACTTAATAAAGTACTCAATATAAATTTGCTAATAATAATACTAACAATAAAAAAACACCTACTTCATATGCTGGTGTTTAAGATTAATTGAGATAATGTATGCCTGGCACACAATAAATTCAATCTATTTGCAACACATAGGCAAAATCACTTTGACAGGCAGGTGTGTGGAGGTTTTGTTAGAATAAAATGAAATCTGAGATACCAGTTAGGAGGCTGTTATAGAAGTCATGAGTGAGATGGTGAGGGTCTGAATTATTGTTGGTGCTATGGAAAACGAGAAGAAAGAGCCAATCTCAAAGACACGGAAAATAAATTATTCATAAGACCTGGAGACGGAATGATATTGGGCATTAATAAGAGGACTCGACCACACCAGGTTTGTAAGGTGGAGAAATGGAAGAAAGCAGTTGTATTGATGGTTACGCAGAAATCAGGAAGAGGGTGCTCACATGGGAAGGAGAGAAAACACAAGCTTGTTTTGAAATTAAATGTCAAGTGTTGATTAGTCTGCCAAGAGGATATTCCTTTGACGGGAGGAGATCTGGTTGGAGATAGGGGATGTTGGGCCTCCCGAGGCTGCCTGCATGGGGGAGAAGAGGAACTCCCAGAGGTTCCTCAAGGAGAGCAGGGTCACCTTAAAGAAAATAAGGAGCATGTAGACTTGAAAAATTTAAATGAGCAAAACAGAAACCCAAACAAACAAATGTCAGGAAAATGGCCTATACTGGTGACCTGAACTTGAAAAAGAGGAGTAAAAAAGATTTTAAAAAAGAAGAAGAAAGCTCTGACATCAAAAAAAATCTGAAAATATACCATTTGTTAAATGCTTAGAGCAAAAATATTCCTTAAGAGCCAAGATGTTAAATGAGTAAGTGCTGTGCTAGCGGTTAAGTGCGCGCGCTCCGCTACGGGGGCCCGGGGTTTGCCAGTTCGGATCCTGGGCGCCCACCGACGCACCGCTTGGCAAGCCATGCTGTGG